AATTTTCAATCTTTAAAGTCACTATTATTCATCAATACTCATCATGAAATCTTTCTCTATAAACATCATCTAGTCTCTTTCAGTAACTTCCAACTCTAGTATTGGTTGCTAACAGCCTTGTTGGAAGTAAAGATGTTATAGAAAGAAAAAAAAAAGGTGGTGCAATAAAATGAACAACAGCAGGAGAAGTTTGCGATGCTCAAAGGAAAATCCAATTGTTAATGCAGTGTATGAATTATTTTACCCATAATTCAAATAATTTAAAAAGCCAATTATGCTATTATAGCAAAAAAATATAATTACATTTAAAACAAAATTAAATATAGTATAATTAATTTTGTTATACAAATTTTTATTTATCTTTAAAACCATGTGTTTTGCAGAATGCATTATTTTGTCATTCTTTACACTAATGATCTAATTTAAATTTTTTGGTTCAAAAAATTTACTCTACACCCCAACTTTTTGCTGGGGCAGACATATTATTTTTAATTATAAGGGTATTTATGTTTAAAATATTTTTCCTGTTTGAAGGTTTGATTTTGTAATTAAAAATGTAAATTTAAAAATGAGAGAAATTGACTGAAACAATAATATTAGTCATAATTAAAACAATCACAACTCAGGCTTTGCTTAGATTTAGATCTTAAAATTTCAGGAGTTATTATCTTTTATAAAGTACCATGGTTAAAATATAAAAAAATCCAAGAACATAGAGTGGCATACATAGAGTATTAAAAAAACATAGAACATAGAGTATTAAGAACATAGATAAAAACAGAATATTAAGAACATAGAGTATTAAAAACAAGAACATAGAGTATTAAAAACAAGAACATAGAGTATTAAAAAAAATTAGTTGTTTTGACATGAAGTTATTCAGCTGCATTTTCATTTGTGACTGCTGTTGATTTTTTATGTATTTTTATAGTTAGCTATTCTCTTTTCTATATTATTTTGAGTGAAAGTTAATTTAAAGTATAGTACACTTTTTTTTTAGTGTTTCAAAATTCTGAAAATTTTATATCTATTTGTTGTTTGTTTGTTTGTTTTTTTTAAGTAGTTTTTTTACTTTATGTTACGTTGATATGTTTTGTCATTATATAACTATTTGTAATTTTTTTTATATATATATCCAATTGATGTTTATAAATTAATATTGATTCCTTAATATATAATTATTTTATTATTGTTGCTGTTAGTTTATTATTATTTGTATCATTAATATTATTAAATGGTATTTACTTGAGATTATTTTTAAACTATTTGTAAATGACCTTGGCTTTCATATACTCTAAGGTGTCTAATAAATTTCTGCTTATTTATTAACTTTCCACCACCCACTTGGGCTTCATTTGGACACCTCTTCCCTGATTAATAATTTGTTGTTTTTTTGTGCTCATTTATCAAAAATGATTTAGGATCAACTAATGCATAGCTTAATGCATAGTTAATTAATGCATAGCATAATGCATAATTAATGCATAGCTTAATAACAGCTTTTTTGTTTAAAAATACAATTTTGATAACAAAAAAGATTGAAGTAGTTTAAGTCTCAATTGTCAATTTATTTTAAATATAACTTACAAGCTTACTAGTGTTCATGATATCAAAAAATAGCAAGTATGCATTATCTTTTTTGAAGAGGTTTTTATGGTTTATTGGTCTTAAAATTTAAAATATATTTGTAAATATATTTAAATATGTTTACATTACTTCCACATCTCAATTATTATTAGTTTTTTACATAATACGATTTTTCCTGTTTGTAAAAGTTTTTAACACCATATACTTTACATTTTTTTCTTTTGCTTTTAGTCTGTGAGTAGTTGCTCTTTAATTCAAAAGAGAAAGTTTTGCTTGTGCATTTAAAATGGTGATTAAGTTAATCTAATGTCTCTCTTGGGAAAGAAAATTTGTTAACAGTATTTATTTTCTGTTCAGAAAATTAATACTGTTACAATTGAATTTTTGTTGGGGTAAACTTTGAAGAAAAAATTTAAACAGACTAGTTTTTATTGCCAATAAAAATTAAATCTTAACCATGTTTTTATTGCTAATAAATTTTAAACTTTAACCATGCCAAAACCCATAATGCACTTATGGGTTTTTAGTTGATAAAACCCATAGTTTCTGATTGATATCTAACCTTAATCCAAATCTTAACCCTATTTCTATATATTCACTGCTATTTCTATGTTTTAGTCAATGTATATACACTTGATTATGCCTATCCTTATGTGTCAGTTTTATCTCTTTATGTTTCAGTTGATTGAAACAGAGTCACAAATTTATATTTAATTTTTTTTTTAATGTTAAAAATAAAATTGTTCAATTAAATTCAAAACTTTAAGTAAACTTTAATATATTTAATTACATAACTTCTTATGTCTCAGTTAATGTAAGTACATTTAAATAGCAACATTTTTAAAAAGTTTTTTTTTAATGTTAAAAATAAAATTGTTCAATTAAATTCAAAACTTTAAGTAAACTTTAATATTGATGGCAATAAAAACTGGGTTATGTGTTCAATTTTTTTTTTTAAATGTTACTTACAATTATAAATAATTAGAATAAGAATACATTTTTTAAAAATGGCAAGTATGCTGCATTTCAAAAAAAAAAAAATTTAGCTCATAAAAATTTAGGCAATTTTAACTAATAATGAATTTGGGATTTGTTTTTCTCTATCACATCTACATTTTTTTTATGTCAGTCTTTGCTCTGAATTAGAACATGTATTTAAATGATTAATTGGTTAACCTTAATGATTATAACTTTTTTTTGTTATATTTGTAGCAAGGGTTATTGCTATTGACATATCAAAGGCTTTAGTCTGACATTTTGGACTACTCCATAAACTTGCTTCATATGATGCATCTTGGAAAGTTTTTAAAATCATTGAATTTTTCTATTCTAACTGCAGTATTGAAGTCCTCCACACTCTTTTTCATTTCTAGTAACTTCTGGGATACAAATGGTGCTATCCTTGGTCTTGTATTGCTTTTCAACTGTATTAATGTTCTTTCTGACTATCTTACAAGGTGACTGTTTGCTGACAAAATAACTATATACTCCAGCCTTGACAAAAAGTCACCTTTTGATCACTTAAAACAGCTTGAGTGCATTCTCTTTTATATGACAGTTGAAATAGTTGTTGAGTTTTAACTCAAATAATATTGAGTTGTTTACTGTTAATAGTTATTGCAGTCTAGTTAACATTACTATATTAATAATTATTAACAAATTGTGTTACAGGATATGGTTGTACAAGTATGTAGGAGTACATTAGAGTTGGTTTTGAAATCTTTCGTCATCGTCCGTGAAAGAAAAATCGATTTGAAAATTTTGATTTTTAATCAAATGAAATAAAGAATTTTTTACATAAAAATTCTATATTTTTGTCACATAAATTTCTAACAAAGATAAGCAACTTGTTTAAATAAGAGTTCTTAGGCCCTTTATTAATTTTAAAAATTCCAGGAAAGGCCTGCAAACAGTTTCATTTGCTTTTGGAGAAAAATACAAGTGCTAAACTATTTAAAATGCCAAATTAAGCAAAAATTCATGGTGACAAGAGGAAACTGTCTGTTTTTGGGATTCTAAATAAATTGTACAAAAGGAATGAATGAATTGTACAATGAAAAATAATTTGTTTGTGACCTCAGAAATTTTGGACACAACCCAAAATCTTAGCAAAGAATCTAAACGTCTTTTGATGTACTACAAAGATGTTGAAGCTCTAAGAAACACTTTAGTTCAGATCAGTCAAATAAATCTATCAAGGCTGGAATTGATGGAAGAGGGAGGTTCCTGAAAGTGTCTCTAGGGGTTCTTGACTTAGAACCAAATGCTTCTCTTCTGACTAAGAAACCTCTCTTCAAGGATTTATGAGTGATGCATCAACTTCTGGTGGCTATCACAGAAAAACTTTTTTTTTTAAGTTACTTGATCTGTTTAGCTAAAATCTGATTTTTTTAAATTTTCTGAAGAAATTAAATGCTTTTTTGTTTGTCGTTGTTTCTAAGTTGCTTTTGCTGCCAAGCTTGAGCCTCTAGCCTATTGTCAAAATGTGTGATCTTTTCCTTTTTACTGCTATCAAAGCCAATGCTCAAGCAACCTATTATATCTTCCATCGTATCTTCTATGTTCTATGTATAATACATCACTCATGTAATTAACATTGTTTACATATTTCCTGGTATGACATTCAGTTTATATAATTATTGCGTTAATGATTTTATGTAATTAGTTTTATAGAAGAGAACATTTGTGTATGTTATTATACATGGCGCTATGAGTAGGATTTAGTTGAAGCAAAAAATTTAAAATTAAATTAAAATAAGCAATCCTTAAAAAAGCAAGAGATTTGTATTTGTTAACAATTATTTAATATGGCAACTCCTAAATCAGAAACAATGTTTGAATTAAAAAGCTTCAACTAAAAAGCTCTACAGCTGTTGTTAGACATGCAACAACAACAAATGCATATGCAGAATCAAATGACCAAAATAATAAAAACAATAATGTTATCACAAAATCAAAAAATGTCTCATTGTTAACTTCAACAATGTTCATAAACGGCCACTGGAAATCAATTAACCATGCATAGAATCTGATGTCTCAGACAATAAATGGATAATTTTCCTTGACTCATGAATGAGGTATAAAGAAATTAAAAAACTAACTGAGCCAAGAGATATCTATAATGAACCATGACTGACTTGCAGCGCAACAGTCAATGAAATGCTTTTTAATTTTATTGGTTCAGAAATTTTAAACAATTCCAATGAAGCAGAGCTTCTAGCTCATATCAAATCAGTTTCCGTTAAATTAATCCATCCTGAAGTATACAGACAACAATTCTTCTCAATGAAATAATCTGACGGAGAAACAATTACATATTTATTTTTTAATATTTAATTGTTTTTCCGTAATTTACAAGCAATATTCTGTGATTTTAAAGAAGATGTTCAACCTTTAAATGTACATCCAAATATTCGGTGGATATGATCAAATTACAATTAATAGCAGGAATCAACAACACCACACACCGAAACAAAATTCTAAAGGAAATCAATTCATTAAAAGCTAACTGAACGTCTATTAATAATGGAGTCCACTGAGAAGGCCTTTCTTTTCTTTTATTTTCTACATTTATTTTCAACACACAAGTGATAATACAAATAGCAGGGTAGCCCAGCTAAAATCAAACTATCAAAACACATCACACCAAAATCATTAGATTCCGAAACCGTATTTAAACAAATTAAATTGCATAGGAAAACAATTTTACTGTAAATAACCCAGAGCCATTACTAACTTTATCTGTAGCACTCGAAATAAACTTAATGGCACATAAAAAAGTAAAACCTTCATAAAATATCAATATAAAACAAATAAAATTACCATATACAACAATATTAGCTATAGCGAATACCAGTGCCCAGACATGCTCTGCTGGCTCAGACATATTTAAAAAAATGGTCAACACCAGGGCAGTATTTAATTATCTATCAATAATTTGATAGATAATTAAATACTGCCCTGTATAGCTAATTAAGTATTGCCCTAATAAAATTAATTTAATCACACTTGCATGACTTATCATTCAAAGTAAAGTCACAGTTGTTAATCACTCTTGCATGACTTGTCATTCAAGTTAAGTTCTTTTAATTTATCTGTCTCTTTATGCTCTAAAATTTTTTATTCATTTAGGTTTTTTCATCTCACTTCAATGCAATTCCAATGCTTTGGAATTTTCATTCAAAGCATTGGAATTCTTTATTCCTAACTTATACCATTCACCACTTTTAAAATTGTCTGTCAACTGTTTTCTTGCTCCTTAACAACATCCTTTGTTTTCTGGTAATTTCGGACTTAAATATTGGTTGCGTGCAGCCTTGTTGGTAGTAATTTTTTTCTTTGTGGTAGTATTATCATATTGTGATGTTTTTTTAAAATCCTATTGGAAAAATATTACAGAGAGGATCTAGATGTGAGGGTTCACATAAGTCTAAATAATTATGCAAATATATAATCATTATGTAAGATAATTATTGCATATCTATAACAAAAATGTAATAATTAGGTAAGATAAATCTAAATAGTTATACAGATACACAGTTTATAAGTTTTTTTTATATCAAATGCTATATTTTTCTCTGATAATTTTTTCTAGACTTGCTGTTAATATATTCTTAATATTTAATTATAAATAATCAATAATAATTATGATTCACAATTATGAGCCAGGGTCATACCATATGAAATCATCATAAATAAATTTTTTTTTCACCCTTTGTTTCAGAAATAGTTCATTTTTACTCTATATGCATTCCACAATAAATAAAGGATAATGACTAAAAGTACACATTATATGTCATATAATGTGTACATATAATAAGTTGTTTTGTTGTCTAATCAGATTATTATTAAAAAGTTGAATCAGCATTAATTCAAATAACCATATCTAAAGCACTGATTGAATTTCAGTTAAAATTTTTTGCCATTATCATTTATTAATTATAAACTGCATATAAAGTAAAAATGAACTGTTCTCATACATAAAGGTGACATAGTCATGTTTGTTTCATATGAAATCCTCTGATTTCACAAGAAATTTTAAAGGAATTTTAAAGAAATGTTTACTAATTTACTCAAGTTTAATAGAAATTTATTTATTAGCAATGTCTGTTAAATCCAAATTTATATCAGTTGTAATTTTTTTTTTTTTTTTGCCTTTTTTTTTTTTAGTTTTATATTTGCATTAAAAAATTTATTTAATTATTACTATGAACTAATTATTAAATTTGTAGATATTATTAGATAATTAATAGATAATTTATAAAGTAAAGTTCAAATTAAATGATGAAGCTCTTCATTTTGTTTAAAAAGGTTTTTTCCTTTTTTTTTTTATTTTTTATTAAATTTTATATTTAGGCGTGATTAAAACTAAATGATCAATGGGTGGTGTTTTAGGCCTCTTAGGATGTACCTCGTTGACTAGTTGTTTACCATCTATTGGAGGTTGTGTAGCAACTCAGGTAACAACTTTTTTCTACGATTGATTTTTTTTTTACTGATTTTTATTCTTAATTTTTTAAATATATAATCGCGCTCCAAGGTTGATGAAGCATGGCTATTGAAGATTTTTTAACATTTTTTTTTTCAATTGTTTTTTATCTTAATTCTTTCTTTGATAAACTCTAGAAGTTCAAATAGCATATATCAATATATATATATATATATATATATATATATATATATATATATATATATATATATATATATATATATATATATATATATATATATATATATATATATAGTCTTTTTTTGCAACTGATATTCCTTTACAATTTATTTAATTTAGAATATTTCACAATGGAGTTTTTTTACAAGCTGTTTACATTAGTTTGCAAGCAAACTGTAAATAACTTATTAAAAAAAAAATGTAAGAAATATAGAATAATAAAGAATTGTAGTTTTTAATAACTTTAAAAAATTTTTAATGTATATTTTCAATTGAAAACTTAAAAAATAAAATTTAAAATTTAGTTAAAACTACCCAAGTTCTGTAAGTTTTTAATTACTTTTTAATACGCAATATAAGAGTTACCTTTTTAAAAATAAAAAATAACATAGCTTATTAGCTCGCCGTGATTTTGATGTCATAAAATTATCTTTATTTTTTTATTTGAGGACATTGATATTTTTAACTACAGCAATAAAATAGATTACCGCAAAACAAGTTTATTTTTGTTTCAATTTTTTTTGTTTGTTTTTTAACATTAAGTAATTAAATTTGATATTACATTTTTTATTATCATTTAACATAAAATAGTTTCTTTCTTTTCTCGGCATTTGTATAAATGAATTTAAATACCTATATATTTTTTTTCATTATTTCTTAAAATTGCAACCTTGCAAACAAAGTTATTTTACTTTTAAAAGAGTTATTAACAAACAAAAAGTATTAATTGTTGCAAAGAAAAAAAACTTTTTTCTTTGCAACAATACTTTTTTTTTGTGACAAACAAATGTTTAAGTTTCCAAGTACCATTTATTAAAAAATATATACTGCAGGCTTGGACAGGAATTCCTTGCAAAAATGAAAATAAATTAGTTTTAAAATAAAACTTAAACTCTAAGCGAGATTTACTTTTTGTCACGTTTTTCATTGCATTTGAAATAAATTACTTTAAAACTAATCTTTTGAAACATTTCATTAAAGTTACGCAAAACGCTTTTGCAAAATACTTTTAATGATTGTTTTATAAATAAACAACTTTTATTTAAACTGTTGTTTATTTAAAAAGTGAAACTAAATTATTGAAATGAAAAAAAATATATATTTTTAAATGGTGTAAACATTTTTTTTTTAATGTTGCAACAAAAAAAAAAAATTTTTTTGATAAAAAAATTACTATTTTAAAAAATAGTCTTTTTAAAATAGTAATTTTTAATCATTACATAATGTAATGTAATTTTTTTGACTTGCTTTACATTAGTAGGTCAAGTCAAAAAAAAAAGCTTTTAAACAATTCTTCATAAAAATAGAAAGAAAAAATAATAAAGCAACTAAATCATTCTATTGCAACGAGAAGATTTTAATTAAATTTAATCAAAGTTTAAAGTATTTAAAAAAAGTAATCTTATGAATGATTTTTAGGCATGAAAAAAAAGTTTCAAATGTTTGAATTTATCATAAAAAATTACATGCCTACCAATGAAATTTTACATATTTAATTTGCACAAAATGCGTTTATTTTTAACGATCATTATAATTAATTTTTTATTTAATTAAAGTCTTCGCGTAGTTAAAGTCTTCGATGAAAGCGTTTGAAAAGATCAACGGTTAATTGTTATTTAACATTTTTTTTTAAATTGGTAAAACATTAAAAGAGCTGTGGTCAAATTGTAAAGAGAAAAATTTATTAGCGCGGTCAGTTACAGAGTGCGATCGCACGTCATTTCCCTACAAGCCTGTTGTTGTGCTTTATGAATTTTCTGTTTTCAATTTAAGATAACGCACAATCTATTAATTATTCAAATGTAACTTGTATAAAATATTATTTTTCTAAAGTACTTTTTTTTGCAAAATAAAACTTATAAATATAAATAAAGACATTGCATAAGTTATATTGCTTCAAGCATAAATTTAAGCAAAAAAATTTAAAATAGAGTTTTATCCATAAAAGAAGTGTTTTTTTTTTTAGTTATAAAAAATAAACTCTTTTTAAAATGTCGTTTAAAGTTTGTAATAATATTTTTTCATTTTTTTGATAAAATCAATCATTATAACAAAACAAACAAACAAAAAATTAAAATATCAAAAGTGGCACAATTATAAAACAAAATTTAACGTGAAGTATTTTTTATCTAATAATTTTTTGTTTTGTTTTTTAATTTTTTTAAAAAATTCAGTTATTAGTTTAGTTATTGTTTGTTACGAGAAATTTTCTCAATAAATATTCTTGCTATTGCAAGATGGTAAAAGTTAATCATTAGATAAAAGATGACAAAAATTTTTTAAATGTTTCTTTTTTGGTTTCTTTTTCTAAGCGTCGAATAACATCTTTTTATTTTTTTTATGCTGAACATTTTTGATGGAAAAGTTGGAATAATAAAAATAAAATTTTCTTTGTTTTTTTTTTTAACTTATTACATTTGTAAAAAATTAGACTTATTTAAGTATGAAAAAAATGATAAAAATAGGCTTACATGGAATGGCTTAGCGCTTACGTTAAATGAGGTATTTAGTGCATTTGTAAATGGTTTAGTGCGTGCGTTTGTAAATGGTTTAGTGTGTGTGTATGTAAAAGGTTTAGTATATATGTAAATGGTGCACCAGTTTATGCTTTAAATCAAGGTCTGAAAAACAAGATACAATTCAACTAAAGCTAAAATAATTGACACTCCAAGCCTTGTTTTAAAGCATAAAGTGGTGCACCGTTTACTTTTCTTTGCAATTTTTGAAATGCAATTTTTTTTTTCATATAAAAAGGAGCCGATCTTGAATTTGACAAGAGTAGATAGATTACCTATTCTTTTGTAATCTCTATAGAGAGTACGTTTTTTGGAGGCTAATTTTCGGATAGTTAGAGGTTAGATTTTTTTTTCTATTAAAAGTTAACGGTACATGCAATGAGATAGATGAATTTAAAAAATTTCAGATTGTTTGCCAGATTGTTTCAAAATCTTGATTTTGTTTGGCTAGTAAATACTAGTTTACATTTTGTAAATCGGAGATTATAGAGTTGTAATCATCAATTTTGAAAAAATTAAACTTGGTTGTTTTTTTATATGGTTTATATTTCTACAAATTACAATTAAAAATAATCATGCAGTGGTTGCAGCAGGCCTTGTTACAAGATTTTGCTGCGTAACGAAAACGCTGAACGCATTTCAAAGTAACTCAACTCAGCAAATTTATTTTGTTTTGTTAGAAGTTAAATTGCGTCACTAGCGTCTATTCAAGTACCGCATCATAATTAAAGTTAATTTCTTAACGCGTTAAAAATCATTGAGACAGTTCTTTTTTTTCACTATATCATAAGTTACAAATAAAATATAAGTTCCTATTTGAAAAATCGTTTTTATCATTTGCTAAATTTTATTTAAAAAAAAATATTTTCTATCATACAACGTAACATGATATTAGTTTATCTTTTTATAACTTTACAGTTGGTTTTTGTTTCTTTTTTTTAACTGTTAATAAACTTTTTTTTATCTTTGTTATGAATATTGTTTTTAAAAAATAAAGAGTTTTATCAGTTACTGATAAAACTCTTTATTTTTTAACATATTCGTGATCATAAATGTTATGTTCATAAATTAAACGTACGTCATTAAAACTTTACGTTATTCGAATTGAATTAACAATAAACAAAATATTATTAATAATGAATCTTATTAATAAAATATTTACATCAAAATAAATCGTGCATTTTTTAAATTACTATGACAAAAAATGATTTATATATTTAAAATGAATTTATATATTTAATTCCTTAAGATAGTCTGCTAGCATATCATCTTCGCTGTCTACGTCATCAGCATCGCTGCATGTTTGTATATCTTGAATATTTGCTGTTCTAAGTTTGTTAAAATCACCAACATCAGATTTTCTTCGTTTTTTCATATATTTCAACAACGATAAGTCAATAATATTATTGTATTCATCTTTCGACCAAAGACTTTTGTTGCCGAGAATTATGACACAATCAGCAAGTGTGTCGTGTTTCATTGATAGGCGTTTATCTGCTAATATATTTGCAACAATACTAAAAGTTCTCTCGACTTCCGAGTTCGATCCGGATATAGACATAATAAGAGAAACTAGAAGACATATATTAGGAAATTCTTTAATTTTATGTTTAAAAATTACATTCCATAAACTTCTTACCGGATGAGACTCGTACTCGGTTGTGACTAAAAGTTTAAGTTTTTTCCATTCTCGTAAAGCAGCATCTCTTTGAAAACCAGCATTTATTAATGGGACTTCGAAATGGTCACTAACTAACTTGATTTGCGTAACTCCCGATTCTTTATCTTCAGCTATCCAATGTATTGGATCAATAAATTTCATACTTCTGTAAATGGAAAATTTACGAGAATAATCTTGAAATCTACTTGAAAGTAATTCATGAAGTTTAGGAAAAATCACTCTTTTAATTTCATGCATTTTTTGAATTGTTTTTTCTTGATCAAACTTATTCATCTCCATTGTTACATTAATGTAAGAACGATTTTTAGGATGTTTTCTTTTATTACCAGCTCTTTGAAAGGAACCTTCAATTTCGTTGTGATCAGTGACCAAATAGCGAATTACATAGCTGTCATAAAACTCATCTTCTTCCCCAATTGATTTTATTTTATCCTCTATTTCTATTAAAGTTCGTTGAATAGTTGTCGGAATTTCGTGAGGAAATAACTCATTTTTTTCGAAAATTTTTGAAGCTGGGATACTAACTTCCAAACAGTCTAAATATTAACCTACTTGCACAAGAAAAGATTGACATTTAAATAATTTTAATAGACC